AGGGTCTTGGCGCAACCGAATTCCTACGGGGGGCGCGGGGGCGGGGCTGTCTCATCCCAGCCCTCCGCCACCAGGTCTTTGACGTCTGCCCCATCAGACGTGACGTGAAGCAGCACGATCCCAGCTCCCGGGCTCACCCTCGAGGCAGAACCCCGGTCCCCCCCGCCTCCCTACCTATCTCTTGGCGTCTTCGGGGGTGAGGGCGTGTGTAAAGGAGCCCTCCTCGCCGAGGGAGGGGCAAGGATGGGAGCAAGAATCGGACCGTGTCCCGTGCGCTCTCACCCTGGAGTCCGGCTGCTCTTCAAAATTCAACTTTTGCGTCTCGGCGGCGCTGCCGGACGCGCCGTCCAGTCCCATGTAACCGCAGACCGTGGGCCCGGTTTCCCCTGCCTGGTGGGCTGGAAAGGGACGCGAGCGGGCTCAGGAAGGACTCAGGCGGCAGACAAGCTGAGTTCTCGCCGCCAGAGGGCGCGGCGAGACTGCGCCTGCGACCGGCCCAGCTCCCGGGCCCCACTGTGCGGTCCCCCAGCCTAGGGAGGCGCCCGGCAGCCCAGGAGTCCGCCCTCACCTTGGCCCTGCACTGGCTTCACCCTCCAGCCGGGACCTGCGAGGTAGACACAGGGCGGGGGGCAGAAGAACCTGCGGAGACATGCAAGCAAGCGCTGGACTCGCACGTCCATCTCCACTTGACCGTCCCTAGACATCTCAAAGGCAGCATAAATGGGGCAGAGTCCCTGATTGCTCCTCCACCTTTCCCACCGCCCTCCCGGGGCTTCTTCATGACTGTGGACCCCATTAACATCTGAACCTTCTTTTATCATTGCCTTCACTCAACCCATTAATCAGTCCTGTCTCCTCCACATTCAAAACACATCCAGAATCCAGGGGTCTCACCACCTCCACCTTAATCCCAACTGCCATCACTTTTGCCTGGACCACAGCATCAGCCTTCCCACGGCTCTCTCTGCTTCCACCCCGCCCCCCCACCCAACCTGCTTTGCACGAAGCAGTCACACTCTCTTCTTTCTTTAAAAAGCACGAGTCGATCATGTTACTTGTCTTCCTAAAATCCTTCGGTGGTTTAAATCCGAAGTCCTCACCTGATGTAGCCCCTGCTTTACCTCTCTGACTTTATTCCCTGCAACGTCCATCTCCTTTCCTAGTTCCAGCCCCTCTGACTTCTTTTGTACCAGGGCAGGCCAAGCTGGTACAGCCTCAAGGTGTGTGCATTTTCTTTCTAATTGGAACACACCTTTCCTGGATTTTCTCCTGTCTGGCTTCTCTTTCAGTTCAGATGTCACCTCCTTAAAAGGCCTGTCCACCATCGTGACCTTTCTAGCTAACGTGCCCCCACTTCAGTTTCTGCTACATTATGCTGTTCTATCACTCTTCTAGCTCTTCTCTCGATCTGGAAGGATCTTGTTCACTGAGGGGACTTTGTGGTCTGTCTCTTCCCCACTACAGTGAAGATGCCTTGAGAGCAGGGGCTGTATTTTTCTGGAGCTGTATGCCCAGGGCCCAGCACTGTCCAGAGAGCCTGGCACCTGATAAACACCCACTAAGTAGTTGTTGAATGAAAGAAGGAATGAATGGGTGGGTGAGTGAGGGAGTGGGGACTGTAGATTCACAGGGAGGTTCCAAAGTGGGGGCTGGTGGGCGCTGAGGAAGAAGGCTCCTGATTGGCCAGGAGTTGAGCCCTGAGCCCTCCCCAGGATTCTCAAAGGCCCCGAACCGGGAGGCAAGCATAGAGTGGAAGGTGGCCGCTTGGAAGGGCTTGGCTTACCGCTTCTCATTCCCATAGGACTTCTGGGCCACCTTGGCATGCAGGATCCGCACTGTCTGCTCACACTGTTGCTGCAGGCACTGGCGCACGCCTTCCCTCAGCACCGGGACCCGCTCTGGGGAGGACCTGGGAGTGGGGGCAGGCCGGGGGCTGGACAGCAGTGATTGTTAAGGGGAGAGGTGGCATGGAGCCCAACAAGCAGGTTGAACGAAATGCATGGGGGGAGGGGCTAATGTAGTTCTGCCCCACTCGGGGTCAGGGAGGGGAAGCATTAGGCAAGAGAGGGGATTTGGGTGTAAGTCATGGGTTAAATATTTAGGCTGCCAGGTACTCAATGAGGCCTGCACGGAGCCCACCAGGACCACCCAGGCGCCACTCCGCGCAGGCCTGGCGCCATGCCCCACGCAGCCTGCAGCACTGGGGAGAGGCCCCAGGGGCACAAAGGCCACACTTGTGCCGGCCTTGGGATGGAGACTATGTGAGGCTGCATGGTTTCCTTGCATTTTGAGGGGGCGCACCCCAGTGACCTCTTGATGCTGGGGAGAAGAGTTTTGCTGGACCCCCTGGCCCAGAGTGCTCTCTTGCCTGCCCTCAGAAGCCTGGAAACATGGAAGCGCCCGCCAAACCGTGTCCCCAGAACCCAGGGGGAACATTTGAGCCCTTTGGGGTTCAAGGGGGTCCTAACCCCCTTTCTCCCAAGAGAAGGGCCCTGTTCCTGTCGCAGCGTTCCTTCCCTTGCTTACGGGGCCTCCACAATCCAGGGACGGGGCCAGACAGAGCCCAGCGGCCTGGGAGTTTTGAGGAGCGAGGGTGGTGGGTGGGCCCAAGACCTGAGCAATCGCGGAGAGATCGGGTGGAGGAGTCCGCGAGGGCAGAGATTTGAGGGACCACCACGTGGGGCCCGGGGAGCCATGAACCCTGCGGCTGCTCTTCTGAACCCTTCACCCTTCGCGCAGGACCAGAGTCCCGGGCCTCTCCTCACTCCCGGAGCGGGCAGCGGAGGGCAGCACCCCGTCCGCGCCCTCGGAAGCGGGGCCAGGCAGCCGGCGGCAGGAGCCAGGCCCCGCTCCGCCCCTTGGGGCTCTACTCCGGGAAGGGCCTCGGAGGCTTCCGACGCATTCCGGCGGCGGAGAGCGGAGCCGCCCAGCCTCCCGCTGGGAGCCGAATTCCGGCCCCGCAGCTCGCGCCGCCCGCTCCCGGGGTGGCAGGAGCAGGGGCGCCGCGCTGGCCCCGCCCCAGCCCTCGGAGGAAAGGGGATCGCTCCCTGCCGGTGGGAGGGGTCGCAGCCCGCGCTCCCCCTCCCCACCGCCAGCCCCGGGTTAAAGGCGGCCGCCGCCTCCGCTCGCTCCAGCCGTCTGGCCGTCCCCACCTCGGGCACGCTGCCTGCGCCGTTACCTGGTCCAATTGCCCGGGAGGCTCTGCCCGTCGGCTCCGCTCTGCGGCCGCGCCTCCGAGCTGTCCGGCAGGCTCAGGTGAGTCAAAGGGCCTGGGGGCGCTGAGGGGTCTGCGGGGGGATCAGGCGTCAAGCCAGACCGGGCGACCGTATTTAACCGCGGCTGTGCCACTGACGGTGTCTCCATCTGACTTGCAGCGGCCTTCTTCACTTCTGTGGGGTCCTTTCCAAGTTGCGCCCCCACCAACAAGGCCACCACGGGGAGGGGGACTTTTCCCTTAATCTCCTCCCTCGAGGAACCGCCAAGAACGTCCCCACGGTGTTTATTCTTCAGCCAACTCTTGAGTTATTCACAGACCTCTCCTGCCCTTCGAGCCCAGTCTCCCCACTCTCAGGCATTTCCGAATCTTCCTAACTTTAGGATTAACCCCTCAGAGGAGCTGGGGGGCGGGGGCTCTAGTGTCAGACCTGTCACCACGTTGCCGTGTGACCTTGGGCAAGACACTAGTCTCTGGACCTTATTTCTCCCTGCGTGGAACGAGAGGGTTGGGAAGGTGATGGACTTTGAGGCAGTCTCTATTTTGACTCTCTAGGAATCCCGCGGTGGCGGTGCGCGCCAGGCGAGACGTGGGATCAGGCCGAGAGCAGGATAAGGGGGAATCCTAATCAAGATTTGGGGGCCCAGAGGCTTCTGCAGGTGGGAAAGAACAGGAGGTGGCAAAGGCCCCATTGTCCTGACCCCCATGCTCCCCAGAGGTGCTGGCCCTGGCTATGGCCCAAGCTAGGGAAGGCATTCTGCACCCTCCGGTTTCCAGCGGCAGCTGACACATCTGGCTTACTCAACCTCCCACCACGGGTCCTGCCAGAGGGATTTTTGTTCTTCTACCAGGCCTGAAAGGCGAGGGCGGAGAGGATCGGAAAGGCCGCCTGGAGTGAGGGAGCTGCAGGCAGCCGACCTTGCTCAGAATAGGCCCATTCACGGAATTGGGGGGTGGGGGGCGGGGTAGAGGGGCTGCGGTTGGGTTAGGGCAGCTGGTCCCCTCTGCCAAGAAACAAGCAACAGAAAAACGGCTAAGGCAGCTTCAGCATGGGGTGGGGGTGGAGCGGGGTACAGAGCAGTGGGAGTGAATGTAAGGAAAAGAGGTTTAGTGACTCCTAGGCGCCAGGTTGCTAGGCAGCCAGGCAGCCCAGAGGGGAGAAGGGGAGCCAGGAGTCCCAGGTTCTAGTCGCAGTTTCCTTTGCAGCTCGGCGGGCAGCCTTCTTGGGCCTCAATTTTCCCATCTGTACACGGGAATCCTTTGGGATTATCGAGGGGCGTCGCCAAGGGCAGTGGAAGAGTGAGCGCTCACCTGTTGCCCGTATAGGGTCCATGGCCGCACTCGGGCCTCACTCACCGCCCTCCGGGCGGATCCAATGCAGCTGTCCCCGGAACCCTGTGCGCCCCTGCTCCTCGGCCCTCGTGCGGGATATATCCTGCCCCGGGCTTATCTCCAAGGCCTCCGGGCTCCTGGCCACTGTTTGCTCTGGGCAGGGGCACCTGCTAGGCAGATGTGGGCTTCCCACGGCCACCCAACCAACGCAGCCAGTCCCAGGAAGACGCCCCCTGGCGGCCTCTCCTGAGAGCAGGAGGGAAACAGAGGTGCCAAACTTGCGTGGTGGGTTTTGGCCTACGTGCTGCGGGTCCCCAACCCCCCAGCCCCGTGAAAGGGCGCGTCTCTCCTGGCGGCCTGAGGCTGGGCGGTGCATGTCTGAGTGTGTGCGTGCGTGTGCGCGCGCGCGTGCGTGTGTTGGAACGACAGCCACATAGAAGCGCCTTGTGTGAGGAGAGGAGGGGGTCGAGGTGGGGAATGGCTGGCTTTGTCTGCAGACGTTCTCCCAGGAGGAGAGCGCGTGGAACGGATCTTTGGAACCACTTAAGCATAGGACTGCAGCGTGGCGAGAATTGCCGAGAGGATTAAATGTCCGAATGCATGAAAAGCATTTAACACTGTGCTCGGTATTTAGAAAGGCATTTTTTCTTTTTCATTTATTTTTGTTTTTGTTTTCTTTTAGGGGGCCTTTTTCTTTTTAAATGTTATATTTTTAAAATCTACTTTCTATTTATTTTTTATTCTGCAATTCTGCAAAGTAGAATTCCTTGTATTTCCCAGCACTGTAATGCAGTACTTTTTTTTATTATGACAAACTTCAAACATACACAAAGGTAGAGAGATTAGTAAAATAAATCCATGATCCTTCTCCCCCTCCAAGTGCCCATCACCCAGAATAAGAGTTCCGTAAATATTATTGCTTTGCTTTTTTCCTTGCACCCTCCAGGATCCGACATTTCCGTTCCCTGCCACCCAAGCGCCATGAGGGGCCTTCTTTGCTCGCCACTGCCCATGTTGCTGTTTCTTCTTCAGCCCTGGGAAACCCAGCTCCAGTTTGCAGGTGAGTGGGGCTCAGCCCTCACCAACAGGGGGAAGGGAGCAAAAGCTGGTTCTCCGTCTGCAGCCAGCTAGGTCTGCTGGGGAGAGAAAAAGCAAAGGCTCTGAAATCATAAAGGGGCGGGGTTCTAGTTCACAGCTTCCCCTCTCTGGGACTCAGTTTCCTTATCTGTAGGATGTGGCTTAGGGGTGACAAAGTTGGGCTCATGCAAAACCGCCCATTTGGTGTTTAATTTTAAAAAGTTAATTGAAAAATCAGGAGACTTCACATACAATTCCCGATTTGGGACTTCTCTTGAAAAATCCAAAGATCTGTTAACTTGGGGTCCACATGGCTGCATGGCAGCATTTGGCTGGAGGAGGGTTACAGGTGTCCGCCAGCCTAATCCAACCAGTTCACTCATTTATGTTGCCTGCCTGGTCCCCTATAGACATTTGAGTTTGCCACATCCCTTCGTCCACTCCCGAATTGGAGAATACCTCCTCAGAATAGCCCTAAGAGCTGATAGAGAATTGGGGGAAATCTGGCCCAGGCCCTTAGCAAATGCTGGATGAGTGAATATATCTAACTCGCATTTGTTAGGTTAATTCTGTGCTAGGCGCTGTTAATGCCGGGATAGCACTATTTCGCCCTGGGTTTCCCTGGGGATCTCCTCCAAGATGAGGTTCTGCAGACCTAGGAAAGTCCTTCCTGATCTCCTCGAAGGTCCCAGGTGTCGGTCGGGGCCCCTGGATTTGGTGTTCGTGATTGACAGCTCGCGCAGCGTGCGCCCCTTTGAGTTCGAGACCATGCGGCAGTTCCTGGTGGGCCTCCTCCGCGGCCTGGACGTGGGGCCCGATGCCACGCGCGTCGGCGTGATCCAGTACTCGAGTCAAGTGCAAAGCGTCTTCCCGCTGGGCGCCTTCTCGCGCCGCGAGGATATGGAGCGCGCCATCCGCGCGCTGGTGCCGCTAGCTCAAGGCACCATGACGGGGCTGGCAATCCAGTACGCCATGAACGTGGCCTTCAGTGTGGCCGAGGGCGCGCGCCCCCCGCAGGCGCGCGTGCCGCGCATCGCTGTCATCGTGACCGACGGGCGGCCCCAGGATCGCGTGGCTGAGGTGGCGGCGCAGGCGCGCGCCCGCGGCATCGAGATCTACGCAGTGGGGGTGCAGCGCGCCGACGTGGGCTCCCTGCGGGCCATGGCGTCTCCCCCGCTGGACGAGCACGTCTTCCTCGTTGAGTCCTTCGATCTTATCCAGGAGTTTGGCCTGCAGTTCCAGGGCCGGCTCTGTGGTGAGTTAGGGGAGCGCTGGAGCGAGGCGCGGACCCCGCAGCCGCTTAGACGCCCCTTCCCACCACGTAAATAACATCCGGTCCCGGGAGGCCCCGCCCACTCTAGCGCTAGCCCCGCCCGCCAGGTGGTGGAGCGGCGCTGGGCTACCTCAGGCTGTGTCAAATTCCAGCTCTGCCCACTTTTGCTTAGGCTTCGCCCACAAGAAGCAGCATTTAGCGTGCCTGCTCACCCGGAGGAGCTGTTGTGGTTTACCACAGGCCTAAGGTCAAACTCCAAAATCGCCCCTCGACACAAAAAGCACCGCCTTTCAAAGCTGAGAGCAACGGCCCACCCGAAGGAGTCATGTCCCGCCCACATGGGCATGGCCCCGCCCACCCTCCTTTTAGTTCCTCCCACAATGCTGCAGGTCTGTTCTAGTCACACCTTGATTTCCCCCACCTTGATTTAGTACCTCTCCACCTCCTCTACCTTACCCCTGTGCATTCCCGCCCTATCCCATTGACGCATCTAGCCCGGTGACCCCTTCTGAGCCTATTCATAGGAGCTACTCAGGCCCTATTCTTTCCCTAAGCCCTCCCATCTGGATTGGCCCTCTCAAATGAGGCTTGTCCCCTCTAAAGCTGTCTTCAAGCTTGGTGCCTGCCTCTGACCCCACCCAGCATTTTCTTGTTGGAGGGTTCTGCCCATCGCTGATTCTACTGTTGTGTGTCCTCAGGAAAGGACCTGTGTACTGAGGGGGGACACGGCTGCCAGCACCAATGTGTCAGCGCCCCAGGCACGTTCCACTGTGCCTGCAACCCTGGCTACCAGCTAGCTGCAGATAACAAGAGCTGTTTGGGTGAGAGCTGCCCCTGCCCTGCAGTCTCACTGCTCCTGAGTCTTCTGTGGCTCCCCATTGCCCCAGCATCAGACCAATGAGTCTGGAAGGGCTTTTGGAAGTAAAAGTTCAGCGCCCTTACTTTATGGGTCTAAGAAAGGGAAGGTATTGCCTGCAGCCAAACAATTCCTTGGTGAAATCTTGACTCCTAAGGTTAAGGGTGCTTTCTACATCATTGTCTCCCTTATTTCAGGCTTGCCTCCTACCTGGCTACAATATGCCTCCCAAACTTGTTTATGAATTCTCGCGTGCATATCTTCTTACTGTTTCTGTTACTTAGACACTCACTGTTGGGGTCTTCAGTTAGGGTCTCCATACCCCTCCCCACCCCTCTATATACATTGCTCATTTCTGCTCCTGCATCTCAGCTCTTTCTGGACTGCCCTTGCTGCTTCTCTCTGCAAATGCTTCGAGTCCTGGTTCTTCATTTTGTCTCCTAAAAAGCTACGGCACACTATGCCTCCCGTATACAATTGGGATTTGCTTTTTCCTGTGACTGTGTGTCCACTCCTTTGATCATGAGGCAGCTACCGTTCTCGGAGCGCTGATTTAGTATTGGACAACGCACTTGAAGCTTTCCATACATCATCTCTCAATCTCACGACAACTGGGGAAAATAAGTCATGTGTTCCCAATAATGCAGATGTCAGCTGGGGTCTTCTTATTTCTAGAACTTAGAAAAGACTGGCTTGAAGCCTCATGTGATGACCTCTGAACATTTGAATCTTTCCCCAACATCTCCGGGAATTCCCCAAGTGCTTGCATTCTATGGTCACCTCTCACTCTGAGCTTCTGTTGAATTCATTTTATGGGTCCAATTTCTCAACCCGCACATGCTGGTCTTGTTCTATGCATATAAATCAGCCTCTTCCTTGGTTTGCACACTTATGCACACAAGGGCATGTGTGTGTTTATATGTAAGTCATGCATATGTCCATTTTACTAAAGATGGGGGTGGCCAGAGGTGTGCATTACATCTAAGTGAAGTCAAACATACGTACACAAAAGAAACACCTACTATTAATAATTTCGTATTAGATACCCTGATCCCAAAGCCCTGTCACCCCATTAGAAGTGATTTTTCACTGGCAACCTCAGCCCACACAGGTACTCATGCTCACACTCTCTCTCTTGCGCTTCCTCTCGCCACTCCCATCTCTTCTCTAGGAACCCCAAATTCTCACTTTTTTCGTGCAAGGCAATCTGCATCTCCCCAGTCCCTATTTTCCAGCTCTGGGCTGTCTTTGCACATCTACACCATCAAGATACTCAGCAGGCGATAGTTCCCTCCTTAGAAGGAAGCTGTAAATAGCAATTGCACTCTTCCATTATATTCCCATTTTGCAGATGGGTAAACGGAGGCTCAGTAGGTAGTGGCAGAGCCTGGTTCTCCTCCATAAGTCAGTGAGCATCTTGAGGGCAGGGGACCTGTCTTCTACAATTGTCGATTCTTGTTCTTATGCCTGGCTTAGTAACGGGCATATTGGGATGCAGCTGGGCCTTGAGTCGGGAGAGCCACCTGGGCCACTAAGAAGGAGGCCTGTGCTTGTAGAAATCAGAGATGCCTGGGTCACCCAGTCAGGACCTTGGGGGGTTGGGGCCCAGGCATAGGTGTTTTTAAAAAGCTCCTCAGATGGGGGGCCTGGGTGGCTCAGATGGTTAAGCGTCTGCCTTCGGCTCAGGTCATGATCCCGGGGTCCCGGGATCAAGCCCCACGTCGGGCTCCTGGCTCAGCTGGGAGCCTGCTTCTCCCTCTGCCTCTCCCTCTCTCTGTCTCTTATGAATAAATAAATAAAATCTTAAAAAAGAAAAAAAGCTCCTCAGATGATTGTTCTGTTGGGGCTGAGAAGTGCAGCCCCACCCAGGGCATACGCTGACCTCACCTCTTCCTCAGCCATTGACCTGTGCACTCAAGGGACCCATGGCTGTGAGCACCACTGCATCAGCTCCCCAGGCTCCTATTTCTGTCGCTGCCGAGCTGGCTTTGTACTCCAGCAGGACCAGAGAAGCTGCAGGGGTGAGCACCCTACCACTAGCATCCTGGACTGAGGTCCCTGATGGCTCCAATCAGAAGCGACACCTTTGCTCTCTCTCTTCCTGCCCACCAGCCATTGACCACTGCAGCTTTGGGAACCACAGCTGCCAGCATGAGTGTGTTAGCACATTTGCTGGGCCACGGTGCCACTGCAGAGAGGGCCACGACTTGCTGCCCGATGGGAAGAGCTGTGAGGGTAAGGAGGGGTCTCTTGTGTTTGTGCAGAGGGGCAAGGGATCTTGGCTGGGGGAGTCCACCCTGACTCATCCTGACTTGTCTCTCCTTGAAGCCCGGGACCTTTGCAATGGTGTAGACCATGGATGTGAGTTCCAGTGTGTGAGTGAGGGCCTCTCTTACCGCTGCCTGTGCCCCGAGGGCCAGCAACTCCAAGCAGATGGCAAGAGCTGCAACCGTGAGTGATGGCTGGGAGGGTGTTCTGTCTGGCCCTGCCCCACTGCATCCTCTGAGCATCCTCGATTCTGCCCTTGCTCTGGCCCAAGGGTACGCTGTGAATGTGTGTGTGTTGGTGATGGTGGGGCGGGGAGTGGAGGGCATGCCGTGTCCTGCCTCCATCTCTTTCCCCTTAATCCTCTACCCTGCTGCCAAGGTTAATATCAAAAGTACACATTTGATCCTATTTCTCCCTCCCTCGAGAGTCTTCTGGGCTCGCCTGTGCTTACCCCTGAGCTCAGATGCTTTACGCCTGAGTTTTTCAGATGGTGGGTGCAGCCACATTAGTGGATAATGAAATCAAATTAGTTTTTTTTTTTAAAGATTTTATTTATTTATTCATGAGAGACAGAGAGAGAGAGAGAAGCAGAGGGAGAAGCAGGCTCTCAAGGAGCAGGGAGCCCGATGCGGGACTCGATCCCAGGACTCTGGGATCATGACCTGAGCCGAAGGCAGACCCTTAACCGTCTGAGCCACCCAGGCGCCCAGTTTTTTTTTTTTTTTTAAAGGAGAAAATAGAACTTATTGCATGAGGAAAGAGTAAGTATTGTTTCATGAAATTCAAAATTCAAGTGTGTCATTTTGTATTATTATTGTTACTGTGGGGTGTGGTCAAAATTTTGAAACCACTGCCTCACCTCATCTCAGCCAACCCCGTCAGCAGGTCTCCTAGCTGGGAGCAGGCTCAGGTTCCTGCTCATCCTCGAGGAACAAATCAAATGTTGCCACCTCCATGTAACCTTCCTCGCCTACTCCAGGAAGAGTGAATTATTCCTACCTTGGGGCTCCCTACGTGGCCCTCTATTCGAGCGCTTTCCTTGGCTGCAGCATAGGGCATGTCTGACTGCTCTGTTCTGTCCTGATTTCCTTAGGATCAGGGTTATGTTCATTTATTGTTGAACCCCCTTCAGGGCCTAGCGAAGTCCCTGATTCAGAACGGGGGAGGTAGCATTGTAGAGTGATTCAGGAGCATGGGTTTTGGGGTCAGACAGACCTGGCTTCAAATCCTGCTTGGCCACTGCTAGCTGTGGAGTCTGGAGCAAATTACCTTATGCTTCAGAACCGAAGGTTATATGAACTGGGGATAATACCCAAGATTATTGGGAGGATTGAGAAAAAATATATGAAGCACCTAGCCCAGGACCTGGCACATGGTAAGCTGTCAAATAATAATGTTTTTGTTCTTATTTATTATTGTGACTGTTTATATATTAGTAACATATACTTTTTCAATATATATTATTATTGATAAATTTATTATTGTCATAAAGTTTTATTAATTTATTACTATTACTATTATTATCTAGTACAGTGCCTGGCACAGGAAGGACTACACGCACGGTACCTGTTACGTAATAAATGTGAATGACCCGGTGGGGAGATGGTTGCTGCCAGGGCAGGATCTGGCGCCCACTCGAAGCTCTCCTCACTACGCAGGGTGCCGGGAAGGCCACGTGGACCTGGTTCTGCTCGTCGATGGCTCCAAGAGCGTGCGCCCGCAGAATTTCGAGCTGGTGAAGCGCTTTGTGAACCAGATCGTGGATTTCCTGGACGTGTCCCCCGAGGGCACGCGCGTGGGGCTGGTGCAGTTCTCGAGCCGCGTGCGCACCGAATTCCCGCTGGGCCGCTATGGCACGGCGGCCGAGGTCAAGCAGGCGGTCCTGGCCGTGGAATACATGGAGCGCGGTACCATGACAGGGCTGGCGCTGCGCCACATGGTGGAGCACAGCTTCTCCGAGGCGCAAGGCGCACGGCCCCGCGCCCTCAACGTGCCTCGCGTGGGCCTGGTCTTCACCGACGGCCGCTCCCAGGATGACATCTCGGTGTGGGCCGCGCGCGCCAAGGAGGAAGGTGGGCTTGGCACGGGATGCACCAGCCTGGGGTTGGGTTGGACGCCGGAGGGGGTCTTCACTGAGGTCTGGGGCGCCCCCTGTGTCCCCCCCCCGCCCCCGCCATCCGCCTTGTAGGCATCGTCATGTACGCCGTGGGCGTGGGCAAGGCGGTGGAGGAGGAGCTGCGCCAGATCGCCTCCGAGCCCGCGGAGCTGCATGTGTCCTACTCCCCTGACTTTGGCACCATGACGCACCTGCTGGAGAACCTCAGAGGCAGCATCTGCCCGGGTGAGCGCATCTGACTTCGCTCAGGGCCCAGCCGTCCGAGCTTTCCCCCTTCTATCCAACCCTATCCCCTTGGTAGAGTTATAGCCAGGGGTTGGACTCACTACACAGAGCCTTGTTACTCAAAGTGTGGTCCGTGGACCAGCAGCAGAGGCTTGTTAGAACTGCAAGCATTTCCAGAGCTCTCCAGACCGAATGAATCAGATTCTGTACTTTACCAAGACCCTGGGGTGATTCCCAAGAACGTCAAAGTTAAGCACTAGACTGGGCTGGCTACCTGCCCCTCAAATTAGTGGGTGTTCACAGTAATTGGAGGAACTTTTTCAAAGGCATGCCAAACTCCTTGCTAGCAGAGTTACATCACATATTCCTTTAACGTGTTGGAATTCAACTACACAGACCTGGCAAAGTGGCAGGACTGAGAGTGTTCCAAGTATGCAGACATGTATTTTTTTTTTTACAATATCACCCATAAATTTAATCCATCCACTTCATCTGGTGCTCAGTTGAAGAAGAAGGGACCAACTCTATCTGTGAAGGAGAAGTGGGCTGTTGAGCCTGTGTGCTGTACTTTATAGGTCATATAGGGAACTTCTCGGGGGTAATTTTCACTGCAGAGTCTTTAGACTCTAACCCAGGCCAGAGATGTGACTCTTTCACATTACCAGGCCCTCCAGGGCTAGGTTCAGTAGAGCAGGGCTGGCCCAGAGAATCTATAGTTTTAAAAAAATAGTTTTAAAATATATATGTGTGTGTATACATGTGTGTATCTACACACAGGATACATACATACACATACACACCTACCTACCTCTCTCCCTCTCCCCCCCCCTCTCTAGGCTAACTCTAATAATTAGCTAGGATATTACGGGGGCACTGGATTTGCTGCTCTGTCAGGGCCCTTCCTGTCCTGACTCTTATGTCCCCTGAAGTGTGACTTTGGGCAAGTCACTTAACCTCCACCCTTACCATAACTTCTCTCTTCTGTAACAGGGGAGGGTGCTGGCTGCCCAAGCTTGCTTCCAGCTCTAAAATTCCTAGAGAAATCTGGGCTCTGTGGTTGAGGCTCTTCACCAATCAGCTCTATGACCTTGGGCAGAACTTTCCCTTTCTCTGGCCCTTGGTTTCCCCAGCTGTGAAGTTAGGAGTCTTTGTAAGACTGTTATCAAGACCATTGATGACATATCATACAGCAATTTGCTAAGGGTCCACCGAGACTAAGAAATCACTCTTAAATTGTAAGAGCAACTCTTTTGTGAAGGCCAAGCACCAGGTATTGTGCTGTTATATGAAAAAGGGCACACGTTTACAAAATTTTGGTGAATCTAAGATACCATCCATTGTAAGACTATCCATTATTATTTACTGCTAAGAAAAAATAGGTGCTGAATTTAATTGTAAGGCACATTTCAGAAATGTGATTGATTTCAGAAATGCTAGAATGTGTGTGGAGGTAGACTTGGATCAGTGGTTTTTTGTTTGTTTGTACCAGTGGTTTTTAAACATCAGTGTGCATCAGATTCACCCAGAGGGTTTGTTAAAACACCATTTGCTGGGCTCCAACCCCAGAGTTTCTGATTCAGTAGGTCTGAGCTTGAGTCTGATAATTTGCATTTCTAATAACTTCCTAAGTGATAGTGATGGTGCTGGTCCAGGGACCACACTTTGAGAATTCCTGGTCTAATTGAAATACACAATAAAGTGTACACTTGAGCTAGGTAGTACACTAGATCTTCCCTCTCTAATAAGGTATATGTGCCCACTGACTTTAAATTACTTTTAAAAAGTTAAAAATTTTAGTTCTTTAATCGCATTAGCCACATTTCAAATGTTAAATAGCTGCATGTGGCTTGTGTGTTTGGCACTGGGCAGACCAGAAACAGAATATTGCCATCAATGCCTGAAGTCTCATTTGGAGAGTGCTGCTGTCATTTGGACCCTTGCTTCTCAAAGTGTGGTCCACAGACCAGCAGCGTCAGCATCACTTGGTAGCTTATTAGAAATGTGGAGTCTCAGCTCCTTCACCGTTCAGAATCAGAATCCATATTTTAACAAGATCTGGTGATTCCAGTGAGCACTAAGGTTTGAGAAATACTCTTCTAAGATGTGTACACACACACAGACACACACACACACACACACCCCATAGAATCCTCAGCACCACCCAATGAATAGCTTTTCTCACTGTATCCGTTTTTACAGACAAGGAAACTCAGGCTTAGAAAGGTTGAGTGAGTTTTGCAGTATCTCACAGCGACCTAGCTGGTATTCATCCCAGGTCTGTTTGAATGCGAAGCCCATATACTCAGCCACAGGCGGGTGGAGGGGCGGAGGGCCTTGCCAGGGCCGGCTCGCCCTGCTGCAGATTCTCATTCCCCTGACTCTCTGCGCCCGGCTGGCAGAGGAGGGCATCGGCCCAGGTACAGAGCTTCGGAGCCCGTGCGAATGCGAAAGCCTCGTGGAGTTCCAGGGCCGCACGCTGGGGGCGCTCGAGAGGCTGACGCAGAACCATATCCTTTGGGCCCCGGGGCCCGGGGGCCCGGGCTGCGGGGGGCAGGGTGTAGGAACTCCCGAGACCCCCAGCGGCTTCCTTAACCGCTCACTGGCCCAGCTGACGGCGCGCCTGGAGGATCTGGAGAACCAGCTGGCCACCCAGAAGTGAGGGCCGCCAGGGCCGGGAGCCGGGCAGGGGCGCGGCCCCGCGGACTGTGCCCTCGGGGCGCCGTCGGGGCGCCGGGGCCGGGCAGCTCCGGGGCCCCGAGGACTTGGGCTGTCGGGGAGGGGGCGCTGGCGGGCTCCCAGCGCTGCGCTCGAGCTGGCCTCGCCTGGACCAGAAGCCGGACTGCGGGGGACCGAGGGGCGCGCTAGGTCCGCACGCCCTCGCTGCGTGCTGCGCTCAGTTCTTTGTTGGATTTCCTTTTTGTTTTCTTTTTCTTAAAAAAAAGTTTTCTTTTTCTTTTCTTTTTTTTTGGTTTCCACGGGGTCGGTTTGTGGGTCTTGCTGTGCCGCCAGGGGGAGGGGAGGCCAGACGCCGGTAGGTCCGGCGGCGCCCGGACGCCGGCTCCTGGGAGAAAGGCGCATTGTGCGGGGGTCGGGCTGGGGGGCAGGGGGCCGGGCGCTGCTTTCCCCCCTTGTTTATTCAGCCGCGAACAGACGGCTCCTTATGCGGGCTGCGGGAAGGGAGGGGGCTCAGCGCGAACCCTCCGGGTTTGAGCAAGACTGCGCCCCTCCATCCCCCAGCGGATGGAGCGCTTCGCTCTCTGGCCGTGCCTATCTCGTGGTGCCCCCCCAGATCGGGCTGAAAAGCTGCTAGAACTGGGACGGGGAGTTGATGAGGAAGCGAGAGACAGTCATGAACCCCTAAATGGACGGGGTTGGGGCGGATAGGTGAGTGTCGCTTGGATTTTATCTCCCTCCTGCGCTACGAAGGAAGAAGAGGAGGCCAGGATTTGTGGCCAGCGCTGCCGCTCAGGCTGTGACCCACCCTCTTCATCCCCCGCACCCCCCAAAACAAAAGCAAAAGCAAAAGCCAACCCTCTATCAGGAAAGAACCCAAGTGCATGTAAGAAATTGCTAAGATTAAAATACTCAGTTTCTCCAGATTTTGGCCGATTACTCTGGATTTGTTTCCTTATCTGTAAAATGGGGATTGAAACTGTTACCCCCAAGTGTGATGGTGAGAATGGAGAAAGTTATTCCAAGGCATCTGAACTGTGCCTGGTACTTATTAGGCCCTCAATGAATGGTAGCTATTAATCTTATAATAATAGTTAACGTATTTTGTCTTGGGCGTTACTCCAAGTGATTTGCAGGTGTTTTCATTTTATCCTCAGACAACCTTATGAGGTAGGAATTATCGCCTTTCTCATCCCCATTTCACAGGGAGGAAACTGAGGCATAGAGAGGTTAAGTAAGTGTCCCAAGGTCACAGAACCAGTAAGAAGCGGAACCAGGGTATATTAGTTTCCTAGGGCTGCTGGGGCAGATTGTCACAAATTCAGTGGCTTTACACGACACGCATTCACCTTATAGTTCTGGAGGTCAGAAGTCCAAGAAAAGGGGTTGGCAGGACTGCACTTCTTCCGAAAGCTTCTGTTTTCTTGCCTTTTCCAGCTCCTAGAGGCTACCCAATTTCCTTGGTTTGTGGCCTGGTGTCACCTCCACCTCTCCTTCTGGCATCACACCTCCTTCTGTGACTCTGACCTTCCTGTCTCCATTTTACAAGGACGCTTGTGATTATACTGGGCTGACCCAGATAATCCACGCTAATCTCCCCATCTCAATCTCTGACTTCATCACAGCTGCAAAATCCCTTTGCCACATAAGGTGACATATTCACATGTTCCAGAGATTAGCGCATGGACCTCTTTGCGGGGGAGGGGGGCGTTATTGTGCCTACACACGGGTCTGAAACCCCACAGCCTGACCTCAGAGCAGACCTCTGAAGCACGTCTATGCCTGGCACCTTGCTAAGCTTGAAGAGGGAGAAACAGAATTGAGAAAAGCCCACGGTGGGGGAGGGGGGCGGGTAGCTCAGGGCTGAGGGGGTGAGGTGCACCTGACTATTGCTGCAGCAGAAGGAGGGACCTTCAGGTGAGAAGGTGGAACAGGTGGGTAAGGGCAGGGAAGCAGGGAGAGATCCTGGAGGAGGAGACCAGGAGCCCAGACCTAGTCCATGGCTGGAGTTCCTGCTGGGCATGAATGTGTGTGGTCAGGAGTGACTGGAGTGTGGGGGAGCAGGATGACTGAGATCTTCCCCACACAGGAGCGGCAGGTGAGCTGAAGTGCTAAGCACAGTGCCTGGCATGTTACCTCATCGGCACATCAGGCCTGGAGGACAGAATTGCCTGCCCAGGGTCACGCAGTGAGAGAACCCCAGCCGGGTGAGGCAGCGGCCTGGGGAGTCTGATTAGGAGCGAGTCCTCAACTGATGAGGGGAGCACTTCCGGCAAAGGGCGGCTCCCTCCTTCCCTCCTGCCCAGAACTGGCCAGGACTACCTTCTCTCTGGCTTTTCCTTCCTCGCCAGCTCTTTCCTCTTGCAGTCTCCCTAGTGGCCACTGGATGGCGCCCAGAGCTCTGACTTGGAGGTGGGTCCCAGAGCGCTAATAGGCTCTTGGCACCTGGCGCTTGGACTAATGAACCAGGTCTGCTCTTCTCCATAAGATCCTCCTTTCCTTTGAGACCCCTTCCCCGCTCTGGGAGACCCACAACCCCAGCCTAGAAGCTGCTTCTGTTCCTTAGGCACTGGCCATACACTCCTGGATTTGTGGACCAGCCCTGCTACTCACCAGCTGTGTGTCAGGTGTTGACAGCTGCTGGTTCCCTCGTCCATCTCCCAACTTGCCCTCTCTCTCATTTCCCTTTCCTCTTATCCCCTTTAACCTTTGGATAAGAAAGAATGTCCCACGGATGGATAGCTAGCCCTTGCTTCTTTGTTTGCACCCTCCTCCTTCAAAGGATAGAAGACTTACAAAGGGCTCATCGGTTCAGCAAAACAAATATCCATTAACCCAAGAACAGAAAATCAGAATCTAAGTAACAGTGGAGGAAGAGTAACACAGCCAAGCAAGCTTAGGAGGCTGAACAGACACTGGTCCTCAGGAGAGGAGTCCGAACAGACACTGGTCTTCCTTGAGTCCAGGCAAGCAGGGAGGTTTTTATGTGGCTCTCAGAATCTGGTAAGTCTGGCCACAGGGCAATTATGTTTTGGGGGACTCTTGAGCCCAGGTGTCCTGGAGGGAACTCAGAGCCCTCAGCCTTCTTGGTTCCCTGCAGATTTGAATATTTAAAAAGGACAGTATCTTCTGCAGTGGTTGACCGAGAGGTCACTCATGGAGCTGTTTCTTATCCTTGGTAACGAGCACTAGACCTGGTCTCGGATGGGAAAGCCAAGGGCAGGAAGGGCTGCAGCCTCAGCCAGTCATTCTGACACCTTTCTGAATTCCACCCCTCTCTGTTTCTCCATGATTTTTGGTATTTCTATCTTTCTATTCTAGCTCAAAGCTCTTCTCAGTTTCTCCAGTTAGCAAAGCTGCTCTCTTCAAGGGTTATCTACCCTTCTGGGTCTTTGGACCCAAGATAGCGAGAAAAGGGAAAGAAGAGAATTATCAATCACAAAACACCTACAATGTGCCAGGGACCATGCTATGCCTTGCACCTGCACCATCTTGTTTAAACCCCACAACCTACAGAAGGGAAAACAGGTTCGAAGTGTCCAGTTGTCAAGTTCACAGAGCTTCAGAGCTAGGATTTGAACCCAGGTGTCCCTGATCCCAGAGGGTGCCCACTCACATTTCTACCCTTCAAGTCATTGGGGACAAAGCTGAACTTTTTCAAATAAACTTTTACTGGGAAACTTATAAGGCAGGCCAAAGCAAAGCCCAAGGTATGGAAGGGAAGAGGGGGCGGGATGGTGGTTCTTCGTTGAGGGGTATCTCAAGCACATTTAAAACTCCCAGGTTGGTGAGTCACTGTTCTTCCTGCTCTTCGCCCTGCCCTGGGCAGCCCCCTCTCTGCCTGCTCCCACATCCTGCTCTGCCTTTCCCAGGTCCAGGGAGAGTCTTTTTCTGAAGTGAATAAAACCTTCCGCTGCCTCCCTGGGACTCCCCCCGCCCCCACCAAGGGGCCCAAGGCAGGTGAAGTTCTCCCCTGCGGCTGAGCTGGGGGTGGGGAGTCGTGGAGGGAACTGGCAGAGGAAAGACCAGTGGAGGACAGTCAGGTCCGTTTTCTCCCAGATGAACAAGAGAATCTCAGGGTGGCCTCTGTCCTCGGATAGAGGACAACTAATCCTAATCTTGGCAGGTGCTCAAAAAATACCTTCCCAGTGAGTATTTCTTGAATGTCTAGTTCAGAGATATGTCAGCTATTACACTAGGCACTGGGGATGCAATGGTAAAAAAGAGGATCGTACTCCTTGTCTTCAATTTATGTTCTAGGAGGGGAAGGCAGACAACAAATAAGTAAATGAATAAAGGTTCAAATAGTGATAAATACTAAGAAGATAATAAAATTAAGGTATGAGCAGTGCTGTCCAGTAGAATTTCCATGAAATGTTCTATATCTGCATTGTCCAGTGCTCGCTTCGGCAGCACGTATATATCTGCACTGTCCAATATTAGTAGCCAGCATATGGCTACTGAGCACTTGAAATGTGGCTCGTGTGGCTGAGGAACTGAATTTTAAATATTGTCTTAATTAGTTAATTAATTAATTACAAGTTAAACAGCCCCATGTGGTTATTGGTTACTGTATGGGGCAGTGTAGGGAGGGAGAGAGGGGAGGGCTTCGGAAGGGGTGGTGAAAGGAGACTGCCCCAGGTGGTCATCTTTGAGCTGAGGTCCGAGTGAGGAGAAGGGGGCCAGCCTTGCAGTGTTCCGGGGCAAGAGTGTAAATGCTGGGCTGCAGGTGAACCATCCCGGTGACCCCAGCACCAAGGAAAGAAGGCCCCAGGGCTGGAACTTGGTGGGCAGGACAGCGGGGTGGGAGTTGAAGGTGGGGAGAGAGATGCCCCGCGAGGGGAGCGGAGCTGGGCTGCGCCAGCGCTGGATGTGCTCCTGGAGGCCCTGCTCCGTCCGCACCTCTGCGGCCCCTCCCTTGCCTGCCGCCTTCTCTCTCAGGGGAGGGGAGAATCCGATGAGATGAGGTGATGGGGTGACGTTCAAATGCTTTCTAAACTTAAAATGCTGCCCACGAGAGAAGGATAGAGTTCTGGTTCTGAGTGTGGTCCCAGGCTCAGCATCACCTGGGAGCTTGTAGGAATGCATATTCTCAGGTCCCACCTTAGATCTATTGCTTCACCCCTCTGAGAGTGGGCCCCGCAATCCGCGTTTCCACAGTACCCCCCCACCCGCCCCGGGGCGGTGACCTGCACCCAAGAGTGATGGCTTTCAATTCCTCTTCCTCAGCCTCCTTCACGCCTCCTCCCACATA